TTTCTCAAAGTCATTTCACGGAGTGGAACTAGGGGTCTTGCATACGTGCACGCCAGTTACGAGCGAGTCTAGTCGATACCCTCCCAGACAGTTGCAGTCTTTAGGGCCGCATGCGTGTGGACCCCACCCCATACCACATCATTGGTGGGGAAATTAGGTGGGGGCCCCACCTTTTTTTTTTTTTTGAATAATGACAAAAATGTTCGATCTGTGCATTGGTTGCTAGGTCGTCAATCTCCCCACCCTATAGCACATGATTGGTGGGGGGAGATTCGTAAATCTCCCCCCACCTTTTTTTTTTTTCGAAAACCGACGAAAATCGTGGAAAGATCTTGCATTTGTTGAATGGTTGGTAAATCGTCACTCTCCCCACCCTATACCACACGATTGGTGGGGAAAGTGAATTTTCCCCCACCTTTTTTTTTCGAAAAATGGCGAAAATGTGTGATCTGTTCATTGGTTGGTAGGTCGTTGATCTCCCCACCCTATAACACATGATTGGTGGGGAAAGTAGGTGGGGAATTTTCCCCTACCTTTTTTTTTTTGAATAATGGCGAAAATGTTTGATCTGTTCATTGGTTGCCACGTCGTCAATCTCCCTAACCTATAGCACATGATTGGTACGGGGGGGAGATTTGCGAGTCTCCCCCCACCTTTGTTTTTCTTCGAAAAACGGCAAAAATCATGGAAAGATCTTGCATTTGTTGAATGGTTGGTAAATCGTCACTCTCCCCATCCTATACCACACGATTGGTGGGGAAAGTAGGTGGTGGAGGGGGGGATATTCGCGAATGTCCCCCCACCTTTTTTTTTTTTTTTAATAATGGCGAAAATGTTTGATCTGTTCATTGGTTGCCAGGTCGTCAATCTCCCCACCGTATAGAACATGATTGACGGGGGGAGATTCACGAATCTTTCCCCACTTTTTTTTTTTTTTTTCGAAAAACGGTGAAATCGTGGAAAAATCTTGCATTTGGTGAATGGTTGGTAGGTCGTCACTCTCCCCATCCCATACCACATCATTGGTGGGGAAAATAGGTGGGGCTCACCTTTTTTTTTTTTTTTTTAATAATAGCAAAAATGTTTGATTTGTTCATTGGTTGCTAGGTTGCCAATCTCCCCACCCTATAGCACATGATTGGTGGGGGGAAATTCGTGAATTTCCCCCCACCTTTTTTTTTTCGAAAACCGACGAAAATCGTGGAAAGATCTTGCATTTGTTGAATGGTTGGTAAATTGTCACTCTCCCCACCCTATACCACACGATTGGTGGGGAAAGTAGATGGGGCCCCCACCTTTTTTTTTTTACAAACAGTGGCGAAAATTTTCGATCTGTTCATTCTCTGTTAGGTCGTCAATCTCCCCACCCTATAGCACATGATTGGTGGGGGGAGATTCGCGAATCTCCCTCCACCTTTTTTTTTGTTGAAAAACGGCGAAATCGTGGAAAAATCTTGCATTTGGTGAATGGTTGGTAGGTCGTCACTCTCCCCACCCCATACCACATCATTGGTGGGCAAAGTAGGTGGGAGGGAGCCCCCACCTTTTTTTTTCGAAAAATGACGAAAATGTATGATCAGTTCATTGGTTGGTAGGTCGTCAATCTCCCCACTCTATAGCAAATGATTGGTGGGGAAAGTAGGTGGGGGGAGAGCCCCATCTTTTTTTTTTCGAAAACTGGCGAAAATCGTGGAAAGATCTTGCATTTTTTGAATGTTTGGTAGATCGTCACTCTCCCCACCCTATACCACATGATTGGTGGGGAAAGTAGGTGGGGGAGGAGATTCCCCCCACTTCTTTATTTCGAAAAATGGCAAAAATGTTTGATCTGTTCATTGGTTGGTAGATCGTCAATATCCCCACCCTATAGCACATGATTGGTGGGGGGAGATTCGTGAATCTCCCCCCACCTTTTTTTTTTTGGAGAAAACGGCGAAAATGTTTAATATGTTCATTGGTTGGTAGATCGTCACTTTCCCCACCATATAGTGGGTGAATGGTGGGGAAAGCAGGTGGGGGGAGGCTCTCGAATCTCCCCCCACCTTTTTTTTTTCAAAAAATGACGAAAATGTTTGTTCTGTTCATTGGTTGGTAGGTCGTCACTCTCCTACCCTATAGCACATGATTGGTGGGGAAAGTAGGTGGAAGGACATTCGCGAAACTCCCCCCACTTTTTTTTTCTGAATAATAGCGAAAATGTTTGATCTGTTCATTGGTTGCTAGGTGGTCAATCTCCACCCTATAGTGGATGATTGGCGGGGAAAGTAGGTGGGGGGAGGGGAGAAGAGGGGGTACGACAATCGGGTTGGGGATGTGGGGAGAGAAGAAGTCGGGGGAGGGGGGGGGGGAGGCGAGTGTGCGGCGTTTTCCGAAATGCCGCAACCCCTCGACCGTGTTCACATACAGCGCCGAGGGGGTACAGCTCTTCGAGAACGTTGTTCCCCCTCTGGTTCTCGGTGGGGGTGGGAGCGGGGGTACGGCATTCTCGAAACGTTGTACCCCCGCTCCCACCCCCACCCGGCAACCGAAGGGGGTACGACGTTTTCAAAACGCCGTACCCCCTCCGGTTCTCCGTGGGGTTGGGAGAGGGGGTGCGGCGTTCTCGAAACGCCGTACCCCCGCTCCCACCCCCACCCGACAACTGAAAGGGGTACGGCGTTTTGAAACGCCGTACCCCCGCGGTGGGGGTGGGAGTGGGGGTACGACGTTCTTGAAACGTCGTACCTCCGCTCCTTTCGCCTCCTGGCAACCGAAGGGGGTACGGTGTTTTGAAAACGCCGTACCCCCTCGGCCCTGTTTGTGAACAGGGTCGAGGGGGTACGGCGTTTCGAAAAAGCCGTACCCTTTCCGATTCTCGGTGGGGGTGGAAGCGGGGGTACGGCGTTCTTGAAACACCGTACCCCCTCCAGTTCTCGGAGAGGATAAGGAGGAGGGGCGTAGGACGTTCCCAGAACGCCGTAGCCCAGCCCCGTAGGTGGACAGGGGCGACGGGTGCGGCCTTTCGAGATCGCTGTACCACTGCTCCCTCTCGTCTCCGATGACCGGAGGGGGTGCGGCGTTTTCAAAACGCCGTGCCACCTCGCCCTTGCTTCGTAGAATCGAACGGGGTAGGGCGTTTTCAGAACGCCCTATACCATGCGACGCTCGAATGCGTCAGCGACTCACGTTAGGCGATGGTGGAAGGTTTGAAATCTGAATGCGATCCGTTCCTTCGTTTGGAATGTGCCTACCATCAGGAGGAGCTCCTGCTGTCCCAGAAAAGAGAGTCTACAACACGTGCACAATCTATAAAGAAAGGGAGTGGGCCCTTGATTGGGGGGGGTGGTTACACGAGACGGGATGTGGGGTCGCTGTGTTTCTGAAGAACGCCACGGTTGATGACTGGTTCTGTGTTGGAGGGATTATTACATCCGAGGATGAGAGGGTGGACGGGCACGGACGGAAGTTCATGAGGTTTTTCCTCACAACGGTGTTCGACGAACAAGGAGTGGACCCTGCGAAAACCGACGGTAAAGTTAGCCTTGATTACAATCTGTTCAAGGGGTATGGCGGTAAGGCTATTACATGAAAGCCTTCGATGTGTCCCCGAAAGACGACGAGAGTGTGTTGACGATGCTTGGACCCGTGAAATTCCTCGCCAAAATGAACGGGTACAGAAGATCCGAAAACAGTCCCACGGTTAAGGCTGGCCATCGTATGTCCCCGACATTCGTGCCTTTTGACACATGGGATGAGGATCTTCCCGGTATAGCAATGTCAGAGAAACAGAGGACGCCACATAGTTTTCCAACACAGCAGACGTCAGCGAGTGGGAGTCGACGCCGCAACAAACAGAGCCAGCCGCGTCGTCCACCAGGCGAGGATGAGCATGGTCCTCTTGTGGGTTCGTCCCACCGGATGGAATGTGCTGGACCGTCTCAGCCGTCCAGCCGGCAAGACCAAGGCAACCCTGTCATCACATACAAAAGGAAGGCCGTGGCAACTCCTCCCTCTCCCACTCGCCGAAAGGACGAAGGTGGTGCGTCCAGGAAGGCGGCGCTACGGGAGATAAGCGAAGGATCGGACGAGGAAACAGAGGAAGATCCTAGGATTTCTGTTGGTCGACATCCACAGGGTAATCATGCCATCGACGATGACGAATGTGGTGTCGATGAGGACGATGTCGAAGAGGAGAACAGCGAGAGGGAGAGAGAGGGAGAGGAGCGAGAGGAATCTATGCACGACTGCGAGGGTGGGGAGTCTCAACAATACTATGAGGAGGACGACGGGGGCGATGGAGAAAACGATCATGCCTATCCTGTAGGTGATGRSRATGGACGRCAAGAGCGGTYGGCTSATGTGGGGSTCGRCGACGCMACAGGAGAGCGGTCGGAGGCCAGTGTCCAGAAAAGGAAGCGACAATCTTCAACAAGTCCAAMRGCGGCGGCGGATAAGCRCGCTGCGAAGAAACTCACTGTCGCWGCATCTYGACAGGYGCTSAAAGSTTCTCAAGAGGCGGTCGCTGAAAGCGTGAAGAAACGAAAAGGGTCCGCGTCGACAAGGGCGACAAAAGCGGAGAAACGTCCACCGAAAAGAAAGCAGATGGTTGATGAGGGTGACTCTGGAGAGGATGTCGAAGGGATTCCTCCAAGAGATATGTCGGAACAGACATAACCTTCCACCAACACCCATGATGAAGCCATCGACATAACACAGTGCTTCTTCTTGGAGTTCGATGAAGATGGGTTTGCAAAGAAGAAATGGGAACACATTGAAGTGGATGTCATGAAGATCTTGCCAATCTTTAAGGGTGACATCCTCTTCAACCATAGAACATTGGACGAAACGTTGGTGCAGTCCATATATGATGCGATCCATCATGTGGCCAAGGAAACCAACGGGAAGTGGGATTTCATGACTTTCATCCTGGCTCCCATTGTGCCCAGCAGGGACGGGTCTCAAGGCAGACGGATCACACCGGAGCAATTCGACGTCGAACTAGCTCATACATATAACTAGTATGTTGTTGCTGGCCAGCACATGGCTGAGGCAATGAGCAGACTCATTACGTTCGGTACCTCGTGGTAGATGCAACATGGCGGACCTGGTAAAATATACTCGGCGTGAAAGATATATGGTCCGTATGTTCAACTACATATTGTTCAAGGCCGAGGTGAGGTCAAAAGAAGAGTGGAGCGCTGACTTTTTCATCGTTTATACGACCATCTTGGAGAGGTACAGCAAAAACGGCCTGACGGACGAGAAATGGACCGAGGAACGCGACCGCATCCCTGACGACAAGGCGAGGAAGGTGCCGAGGCGTTTGGGCGGTCCTGATGAGATTAATGGTGAGAACGGTGCAGGACCTGAGGTAACCCAAGGCATGTACAAGGAAACCCTGTTCCACCTCCAGTGTTTCATCTACGAGGGAATCGACTGCTTGGACGACCTGAGAGCGGAGGTTAATCGGATATCCTTCAGTGCTTGTCACATATTTTGGGAAGTGGGGAAGAGGATTACCACGATCCTTCCATTTGAAATCGAACCGAAGGGAGTGCTCACCGACAATGAGGAGGTTGTTGGTACGGCGAGGGGGATGAAGATACGGGCAACCATTCTTGATATGTCAACATCACCGAAATGTGTTCGGTGGGATGATGACGCCTTTTGCAAACTGTACGCTTTCCTCATGACATGCTGTGGTGAAAACTGGGCCTTGATCATTTTCGCGCCGATGAAACACAAGAAACAGGTGATGCAGAGTGTGTACAACCGGGATGATGTTGAGGTGCTCACAGGGTCATGGTACAGACACTATACACCTTCGACAACCTTGAACAAGTACGACAACATTGCAGTTCGGTACACTGGCATGATGGTTATTGTCCTCCACGCCGAGAACGACAATTTGGACAATATAACGGTTGAGCTGAAATTACGAGCCGAGTTGACAAATTTGAACGTTGAAGAGGGTGAATTTGTGAGGTGCTCCGGGGAGTGTATCGGCGTGGAGGGCGACACTGACGCGGTTTATTCTTGGACGGAACGAGAGCCAGCACGTCTCCGAAAACTGTGCAACTCGTTCATCAGGGAAGACGATGGTGTGATGTTGTTGGGCAGGGCGCATGCGGGACTGATTTGGGAACTCGCTCACGCCGGACACCACGTGTTTGCGTGTGACGGCACGACAAAAGAGCTCACATAACTTTCCAAGTTCTTGGAGTTTTATGTGAAGGATCCGATGAACAAATGCAGGTTCGAAAAGCCCCAAGTCGAGCACCGCAAGGACCGGGACATATACTATAAGCTCGGCAGAAAGAGGGAGAAAGTGTGGGCTTACTTGTTCGGTGACGCTCCACAGTCAGCGGTTGATAACAAATACGTCATCAGGAAAAGTTAACTCGAGATAGCAATGAACGAGTACCACGGATCGCACATGGGTGCTTTCCACATGTTCGTCGCACGTTGTGAGCATCTGTATTTCAATATAAAGAAAATAGCACTGTCATGCAGGGACTATGCGGACTTGGCACGTAAAGTCGGAAACTTCAACAACATCGATTGTGACGAAGACACGCCAGACTCCGACCTGGACGTTCCGTCGCGCGCGGCACGACGTTCGGCGCAGGGAGCACGTGCCGAGGAGCCGCAAAGGAGCACCAACGCAGATGCAGAGAAGGCGAGGTCGAGTTTGGGAGCGACACGTGCGAGTGAGGGAAACGTGGAACGTAGAATGAATGCAAGGGGACAAAAGAATGGTGTACCAACGAACCCGGTGGGTGCGAGTGAGGGAATTGTTAACTCACGGGGCAACACAGCAGGAGGAGAGAATGGGTGTGCAATAACCCCGCCGACAGCTGGACCATCATCGACACATGCACCGCAGGATGAACAACGAACGGTCACGTCGATGGACACATATGAAGACGAAGACATGGATATGACAACACTCATGTCGAAGCTCGTGCCAGGAAAACCGTTACCTCAAGGCTTTGCTCAAGACCCTTCAGTGCCATACTTGCTGCAAGACAAGTACAAGGAGTCATCGGAGGAGGATTGGGCTCATCATATTCTTTGGCATGAGGGCGTGTTCGAACCGTGCGTGTTTGCAGGCAAGTGGCACATGGCTGTGAAGACAAGAGACCGCGGGTGGGTCATGAAGGAAAGAAAGGAGGCTGCGATATGGCACAGCGTGACGGAAACGCAACTTTTACAGCGAGTTTTACAAGAAAATGCCGGTGCAAGCGAGGTGGTTGTAGCGGCAAAGGCGAAAGTTTTGTTGGAGCATCTGCGTACAAACAAACAACTAGAATTCAACACAAAGTTCTATGACCTTGGATCAAGTGTGTCGTATGGCTCCATCGATTGGAAAATCAAACAGGCGTCCGCAGTACAAGGAATCGATAGCAGCACCTCTCCTAAGACTCGAGACGTCATCGCGTCTAACACCATCGTCGCGATGGCTAGAGGGGATGCAGGCTGCGAAACGGATACACGTGCGAACGCAGGTCACATGCAGAGTGAACAATTACGATCATGTGTTCAACAAAGTACACGGAAAAACACAATGGGGGATTCCACTATGATACGCAAGGACGCCAACGACATGGAGTCGGGCACATTGACAGAGCAACCAACGCGAGGGGTCAACGACGGGGCAACAATCGTTGGATCTTTCGGGTCTCTTGTGGCGACAATGGCGGTGAGGCAAGGCGTATCTGAGATGATGGAGACCGATGCTGGCCAGGATGGTGAAAGCCAGACGGTGAAGGCGGCGTAAGAGGAGGTGGCAGCAACAACAGAGGAGACGAAGAAAGGTGAGGGATCCCGCGAACACGATTTCATAATAGATATGATATCGGAGAGTACGGGCGAGGATATGATCCAAGATAACGACCAGAAAGACGACCACGCTGTACCACGAGTGGGGGCGACGACGAAGAGGACGAGCAACAACCAAAATGGTCAACGAGAGCAGTAATTAAGAAAACTGTGTTTGATGCGTAGGGAAGCCTTAGACGGGCATGGGTGTTTACACGTTTCTGGTTAGATTGATAAGTCGCCCCAAATCATGGTGCGATATTCACCCAGTCCTCACATGGGTTGTCTACGCATTTCTGGTTATATTGATAGGTTGCTGCTAGGTACTATGTAAGAAAACTATGTTAGACAGGAATGGGTGTCTACGCATTTTAGGTTATATTGTTGTGTTAATGGAAGTGTTATTGTGACACTGCAATTCTCGAAATAGCACTGTCGACAATAGAGGGTGCCCCATCTCGATACGCGCGCGTGTGTGTGTGTGTGTGTGTGTGTGTGTGTGTGTGTGTGTGTGTGTGTGTGTGTGTGTGTGTTGTGAAGAAACAGAAAGCCCCTACAACATAGAGCTGTCTCTTATACACATCTAGATGTGTATAAGAGACAGGTGTGTGTGTGTGTGTGTGAATTGGCAGAAGTGGACTCGTCAGCAGCGTTGGGTTCTGTGTGTGGATTAAATTGTGTGCGCGTGCTTGGTACAGTTTTATAATAAAGGCATATAAAAACACAGTATATGGGGCACTTTATCTGCCATGTGTCAAGGACACCTCTAATTTCAGAGAACTTGTTATGCTATCTTATAGCGCGCTGCGAATGGTCGTCTTAACCTAAGTCCCCACGAACTTGAAAAAAGGAAACCATAATAATGAAATGGAAAAAAAAAACCAAACGTGAAAATATGTGAAACAACAAGGCTGGAGTAGTGAACTTATAATCAAAATATTGCCAAGAGTAGTGAATATGAACATCAGAGAACAGATGGAAGCAAGGTTACCGTTAACCACCATAGATCGCGATAAGTATCATTGATCGATTTGCTTTAAAAAAATACACGAAAATTGAAAAGAATTGTAATTGTGTTATGCGGCATATTACGAGGAAGATGGAGGGCGGGGTATTCATGTCAACCAGGATTTAGCAATGAAATAGCAATTGGAATTTTCTCCGCCGTTTCGAGCATGCAAATATGGCAGGCCCCAATAACGATAACTTACGCTGGCGCATAATGCATTGTCCTGTGAAGAAAGGAGGAACATAGAAGAAGTACGAAGATGCAAACAGGGATGGACGATCCACTTAGCAACGGATAAGTTATCGGAGAAGGAGACGGCCGCGGTGCAACATTTACGAGATTCAGTGCAAGCGGAGAATCGGACGGTCTGGACATCCACGTACAATGGGGCAACAAAGGAAGAACTAACACTAACCGGGCATAATTTAAGGTAGATACTGTTTCAAGGCAATTGGTTGAACACCGACATAGTTAACTTTTATTTGAACCTCGTAAGGCTTGACAACATGTGTCACATAAGCCATCGCTAGTGTGATAGTGGACAAGACGGAACCTTAGTAGAAGGAAAAGGGCGCATCCCGATAACAACAATTTTTAGTTCCTTCTTCTTCGAGAAATTGTTCGACGATGACATGCAATACCAATATAGCGCAGTGCATAAGATGGATGACAGATATCAATGAGGGTGACGTGGACTTAATAATAGCTTCATTCCATGTCCAGATGTCCAACCATTGGACACTAGTAATAGCAGACTTAAGGCGCCAGAAAATGGAGTACTACGACTCGCTTACCCCTGGCAAAAACTTGGCAAGGAAAGTGACAGGTGGTTTCGCAAGATTTTTGTTCGAAAGATCGGTTGAACAGGGTAAGATGGTGGATACAAAAGATTTCAACCACATATGGAATGTGTCAGGCATTTCTAGACAGCGCGACATTAACGAATGCGGTGTGTTCATGCTAACATATGCGTCACTGTTGGCAAGAGGATTTCTCCCGCCATTCAACTTCTCTTTCGGCGACATCCACAATATAAGGGGATGGATCGCTTTAGATGTACTTGTCACACCGAAGTTGGAGTTACTTGTGCAACAAAGGACATTTAATAGACGACATTATTAAAGCAAAACATTTGTTCATTTTTTTGCAAATGTAAAGAGTTCATTGGCTCTGCTGGATAGACACCCATGAACATGTTCGAATGTATTTAACAAAGCAACAACACGACATGCCCGATTGAACACCACTATTGTGTTACTTTAGATGATCTCGTACCCCTTACCCCTTACCCCTTACCCCTTACCCCTTTACCCCTGACCGCTGACCCTATACCCATAAACGACTTCATAAATTACATACAAAAATCGAAAAAAAATAGACTTTCAATTTCGTACAAAAAATAAATAATGTCCGTTTTGACGAAATCGCAGTTTTTTGTTGTTGGGAACTTGGGAGTCTGTTGGGTTGCGGTTGCACTGGCTGAAGACGGGGGGCACCATCACGGGCTGGTCCACTGGATGTCGGTTGAACGAGGGCTGTGTCTTCCACTACCAGCTTCGTTCGTCCGTCCACCATGTCTTCCACTGCATGTTATGGTCCCCGTGCAAAGACCCCATTTTTAAGGCCGGGTAAAGCCATGTTTGTTTGAAGGCATTCGTGAGCTGCACTCTTTTTGTCGGGTCAGTGGTTGTTTTGAGTGTGTTGTTGAGGCGTGACCACGTTTTTTGCACATTTGTGCGGATTGTTTCAACAATGTGTTGTTTGGCTTGGAGGTATCTGAAGCTGGAAACCTATCTTTCATGGGAACAACTTGCCCGCCAGATAGTCATAAGTGCCTCCAGTCTTGTTTTGCTAAAGAGAGTCGACGGGAAGGTAGTCCATGTGGTTTGGGTCAACGATTGTTGGTCCAGCGGCAGCACAATTGGATCCCATGGGAGATTCACTCATGTGAGGCTCTTCCACGTTGTTGCCCACCATCGCCAGATCTGTTTTGCCATAGGGCAATCTAGAAGGCAATGCACCAGGTCTGCAATGTGTTTCTGGGAGGATACTCCACACTAAGAGCACAACGGCGATAGTACACCTCTCTTTTCGAGACGGGACCTGAAAACTAGCCAATCTGGCGTTGGCAAAGAGCGGTAAATGATTTGTCATTGTAGTGCTCTCTGAGAGGTAGGCATGAGGTGTCCAAAGTGAGACCAATTAAAGTTTTGAAGGTCTCTATCTTTAAGGATAAAGTCTCTCTTCCACCGGTCTTTTATTATTTGGGTGGTGTTAACCGTCTTATGGATCTTTATGTAGCAATCTTCAATAATGTATTTCCAAGTTGGCAGCGGTTTGTTGCCTCCCCATTGCCATTTGATCGGGTCAAATGGCAGCACGCAGATGGGGGTTGTGGACTCCTATGCCCACCACCTTCAGTCTCATCCCCTACCACCCTTACTCGCATCAAATCTAACTCCGCTTGCTGTTTCTCCAAGTCCTTATTTATCGTCATTCTAAATAGCCTGGCACTCGGGAGTGTAAGTTCGTAGGCGTGTAGTTGCACGCAGTTTGGAGAGCAGTTCTGGACTTGAAATAGCAACATGGGGATGGGGAAGGAGGCATGTTTTATAACCCATTCGCCTTTTTGAATGGTTGGACCCTTTCTAAGTGCTGCATTTCATGCTATTGGGACAGTTTTCTACAGTTCTTTTAACTTGTCCGCCGGGCAGGGTCGTTTTGAAAATCTTGGTATAAAAAGCACCGAGACAACCACCGTCCTTCCTTAGACTTCCTCTCGTTGGATCGGGACGGTGCTATGAAGGGTTACATTGTCCTCTAGAGAATAATGGGTAGTAATGAGGGCAGACGGTTCTTGTTTTTTGTCAGAGAGAGCAGGGATATGTGCTTTTAGTTTAGCAAGGTCGCCAGTTGCTCTGGGTTCTCTCACCAGTCATTAAGTGCATATCTTCCGTCTGCTCATTTAGCGGCTGTTAGCTAACTTGAAGATAATGTCGGGCCATTGTTAAATCTTTCAGCTACAATGTTGTGCGCATGAAGTATAAATATGTTGGGTGTATCAATCGCTCCACATCTCGCGAGCATCATACCAATCTCTCTCTCTCTCTCTCTCTCTCTCTCTCTCTCTCTCTCTCTCTCTCTCTCTCTCTCTCTCTCT